GACCCTCTCTGAACCCATATTGGGCCCCGCTAATGTCGGGGCCCGTTTGGGACAGGTGCTGGACGAGGCGGTTTACGAGTACTCGCTCGAACAGTTTACCGACCTCGTCCAGAAGGCATATTGGCCTATACGCCGACGGGAGAGAGGCGTCTTTCCCCTCCTTTGGGAGGAGTACCAACGTGGCACTCCTCCACCGCGAGGGGAAGACACCTCTTCGAAAGCACGCGCTAAATAAGTGCGCGTATTCCTCCGCGAGGGTGCCCATGGCCAGGGCGTGGACACGCTTGTGAAGGCCGTCAGGACCTGGGGCTGTATTGCCCTTAAGGCCCTTCCTGACGGCCTTCCGGAGCTCCTCCGGCTGGACGTCCAGGGAGTTGTCCCAGTCGGGGGAGTCTTCCCCCGACTCGAAGGGTGGCCCCTCATCCTCCCCGGTAATGTCGGGGAAGAGGGCCTGCACCACCCTCCGGACGAATCCCACGTCCAGCCGCTCCGTCAGCGGGGGCGCCCATGGTCTCAACTTGTTGAGAACCATTTTGTATGGGCGCCCCCACGGATCCTCCTGTAGGGAGTCGAGGAACTCCGTCCACGCCCTGCCCTTTGCCACCCTGATGGCCCGCCTGAGGGCTACCTTGACCTCAAGGTAGTCCTCGCTGGCTTGTTCGGCCGCCTGTTCGCCTCTGCGCCTGCAGCGGGCGAGTCTCCTCTGCTGGTGGACGGCTCGTCGACACAAGTCGGCGATTTCTGCCGTCCACCAGTAGACGGCCCGCTGAGGCCGAGTCTTGGATCGGGGCATCGCAGCGTTACACGCCGCGGTGAGCGTTGCCCCAATCCACTCGGCCTCTTGCAGGGGGTCCGTCTCCCGGGTCTCGGGGAAACTTCCCCGGACCCAACAGGCGGCTTCTACCGAGGCCTTCAGGGCGTCCTCGCGGAGTTTCCTGAGGGCCCATCGCGGTCGCATCTCCTAGCGGCGCACGGGGGAGAGGACACCGAGCTCCACCGTTATGTAACGGTGATCAGACAGAGTCTCGGTGTCCCGCTCCACCCTCCACCCGGTGATCAAGCGCGCGTCCGAGGGGGTAGCCCACGTGAGATCCACGATGGACTCCCCTTGCGTCCGCACGCAGGTGGCGGTCCTCATTCACGAGGACTAGGCCGTGCAGTGGATCTCGCTTCACGTGGAAAGTCGGAAACCCATGTTGTGTCGCTACATTTCGTCGGTATGACAGATTTGCTAACTCTAAAAGTTGTCAACTTTAATTAATAATTAAAAATGTATGCGTGGAGACAGTATGTTCCGCCTCCCCTTCGGAGGGGCTCCACTTCGTTAAAATATAACCATACCCAAACCATGTCTGAAGTGTAGAGTGGATCTCGCTTGCTCGGTCAATCTGTGCCGCGAGAAGAATTAAGCGTGCGCGCGCGCGCGTGTGTGTGTGTGTTCAACCCGTACCGACTGGTGCGGGAGGGGGCAGGTGTGACCTTGTAAATGAAAACGGTAGTTTGTTTATGATTTTAAAGGTAGCTACACAGGCATTTTAATAAAAATTACTAAGAAAATGTATTAAAATTTTTAGATTTCAATTTGTTATATCTCGTAAACCAATGCCGTCCCCCACTTGATTCTTGCGGGGAATTACTCAGAAAACTCTCCCCTACAACATATCTAAGTGGCGAGGAAATCGGTGAGGTGTGACCTATTCTGCATATTTACCCAAACTGAATAGAAAAGTCCTATACCATTTTGCAAAATTCGCAATAGTTATCGAAAACTTAATTTTAATGTCTGAGGGAATGAGAGCGTAGACGGCGGCAGGCCGGACTCGGCAGGCAACGGTGGGGCATCATCTAGTAGCGAGAGGTGGAGCGAAGCGCCGAAAAAAAGTTGTCACGCAGTGAGCGGCGAGCTTCTGTAAACACTCCCCGCTCGCCCCTCACCGCTCGCCGTTCGCCGCTCCACGCTCGGCTCTCGCCCCTTGTCCCTCACCCCTCGTCCTTTACATGTGGTCGAGCGTTATCATAAAGCAATATGCATATTGCAGGTTGCTTAAAGCGTAATTGCTGGTGCATTTCCTCCATCTGAGAACAGTATTTTCCGGCATTAATGATTTTACCAGTACCGGGATTCTGTAACTTGCTATCGATGTTTTTCGGTTTATCGAAATTAACTAGCGACAGCATAGACGTTAAAAGCACAGCTTTCATAGGTTGGTTAACGATACCGAAAACCATCGATAGCAAGTCACAGAATCGCCGTACAGGTTTCAAGAACGAATAATTAATAATCCAAAGTTTTGTGACGGCTCTCCGTAAAATAAAATTAGGAGGGAAGAAACGGCCAATGCGAGCCCACAGCAGGTGTCAGTGCGATAATATTAATCATTAAGATCACTTTATTAAGTTTCAAACGTTTCGACCCGTTTTTGGGTCATCCTCAGTGCTGGATTAAGAAAAATAATACATAGTGTTAAACAATGATTGTTGATATAAATGTGGTGAGTAAATATAATGAATTTCTATACCTAATAAATAAATTGATTCCCACTCTACCCCGATCCTCTGACAGTTTCAAAAGCGTTTTTTTCTTTGAACTGGTGATTGCCAAGTAAAGAGATCTTTTGTTTGTTTAACATTTTTCTAAAAATGTAAAAGTAATACGTTGAATCTACGTTTGGAAATAGAATTTAATAACTCACCGAAAGTGCCAAAGGACCGTCCCGACGGGAGGCAACCACCCAATTGACAATAGTGGTATAAAAATTAATTGAGACAAGTGTAGGGCATAAGGATTGCCAAAACATTAAATTTGTTGGTAATGTAACTTTGTTGGCGCTAAATTTTAAATATCATCCAAATTCTTAATAATGTGGTCATATATGTTTAAAAAGTCTGTATCAGTCTGTGAATTAAGTCTGAACTTTTGTCTTTTTATAAAAATCATTTCAGAAATCATACGTCTGTATAAAAATGTTTCCCTATCTAGAATGTCAATCCTATCCCAATCGAATTCGTGACCAAGAAGTCTGTGTTCTGTGACTACTGATGGTTGTTGTGTGTTTCTATTGATTTGGTTGCGGTGTTCTTTAATTCTGGTATCTAGTAATCTGTCTGTTTGGCCCACATAATGAAGAATCGCAATCTTTGCAGGAGAGTTTGTATACTATCACATTTTTATGGGCACTTTTTGGGAGAGGGTCTTTGTGTCCTTTAATAAAATAACTAAGTTTATTCATGCCAGTGAACGAGAGAGACATATCAAGATCATGGAGAACCTGTTTGAATTGTAGTGAGAATTTGGGGATGTAAGGTATAATGAAAAATTTTTTCCTTGCTGTGTTATCAGTATTATTCTCTGTCTGTTTCAAGGTCTGGTTGTTTGAAAAATATTTTATCCTTCTGTTTAGAGTATTGAAGATTAGAGGAAGTGGGTAACTATTCTGTAATAGGATGTTGATGACGAGCTCCAAATTTTTCCGGTGGTATCTTGGATGGGAAAGTAATAAAGCGTGATCGACCAATCAAATGATTGTACCTTTTTTGTGACGGAGAGGGTGTGACAGGACTCGAAATTCAAATATCTTCCGGAGAACGTCGGTTTCTGGTACCAGTCAAATTCTATATGGTCGTCTCTAATAATTATTGTTGTGTCTAAAAAATTCAATTTTCTGTTTGTTCCCTCTTCAATGGTGAATTGTAATCTCGGATGGAACGAGTTGAAAATCTGTAGAGCTGAATCTTTCATATGCGAGGGAACGGCTAGAGCAATGTCGTCTACGTATCTAAAATAAAAGGGAGGCCTAAAATTAAGCAACTCAATGGCCCTGTTCTCCAGGTCCTGCATTGTGATATCTGCGATAATTGGTGACAACGGGGAACCCATGGGTGTGCCGAAGGTCTGCTGATAGATCTTGCCATTGAAAGAAAAATAGGTGGATTTTAGTACAAATCGAATTGCTTTCAAAAATTCTTCTTGGGGTATGGCACACTTTTCGCTTATGTATGTCCATCTAGTAGTGATACTGTCTTCTGCTAAGTCTAATGGTATATTAGTAAAAAGGGAAACAACATCCAATGAGATCAAATCATGTGTTTCTTGGATGTGACGCCCATTGAGTTTGTTGACTAAATCATAGCTATTAAGAATGTGGCTCTGTGGTTTCGGAATGGTGGAAGATTTAATGATGTTGTGTAAAAAAAAGGAAAAGGAATAAAGTGGGCTATCCACTGAAGAAACAATTATACGGAGTGGGCATTCCGGTTTGTGGATCTTGGGAAGCCCATAGGCTCTTGGTAGTGTGCCATCCGTACAATTAAGTCTCCTGTAGATGGAATTATCTATGTAATTTGATTTCTTCCAATCCATTAATATCTTGTGTAGACTGCTAATTAATTTTTTTTGTGGGATCTTTCTTAATTGTGATATAAGTGTTCTTATCATTAAGTAAGGTCTCCATTTTTCTCTATGTATATGTCTATCTATTGCGATTGTTGTGTGACCCTTGTCAGCTCTGGTGATGATTATTTCTGGGTGTTCTCGTAGGAATCTCTTTGTGTCGTTGGCGATAAGTGTTAAGTTTTTCATGTTAGAGTTCAAATTGAATTGATGAGAAGAAATTTTGTTGATTATGGGGAAAGATTTCCCTCTAATAATTTCTCGTTTGTCAATCGGGAGTTTGCCTATATTGTTTTCATATTTAAAATTTAGCGCCAACAAAGTTACATTACCAACAGATTTAATGTTTTGGCAATCCTTATGCCCTACACTTGTCTCAATTTATTTTTATACCACTATTGTCAATTGGGTGGTTGCCTCCCGTCGGGATGGTCCTTTGGCACTTTCGGTGAGTTATTAAATTCAATTTCCAAACGTAGATTTAACGTATTACTTTTACATTTTTAGAAAAATGTTAAAACAAACAAAAGATCTCTTTACTTGGCAATCACCAGTTCAAAGAAAAAAACGCTTTTGAAACTGTCAGAAGATCGGAGGAGAGTGGGAATCAATTTATTTATTAGGTATAGAAATTCATTATATTTACTCACCACATTTATATCAACAATCATTGTTTAACACTGTGTATCATTTTTGTTAATCCAGCACTGAGGATGACCCAAAAACGGGTCGAAACGTTTGAAACTTAATAAAGTGATCTTAATGATTAATATTATCGCACTGACACCTGCTGTGGGCTCGCATTGGCCGTTTCTTCCCTCCGAATAATTAATAATGCCAACTCAATAGACGTGGAGTTATTACTGCTTCATGATAACGTTCGACCATATGTTTCAAGAACAACAGTTTAGAAATCTAGAAATTATACGAGAGTTGCAGTATGAAACTCTTTTTATTTGCTCGTTTACAAGTTACTAATTATTTAATATTGCTATTTTAACATAGGGTCTTACGGGAACTGAGATAAATAATAAATCATTCAAAAACTATTAAAACCAATGCTAAAAATTGTATTTTTTGTATCATGTTTTTCAAACATGTAAAAATTTTCTACGAAGTTTTAAAACGATTTGCTTGCTCGTTTTGCAATTATTATTAAGAAAGCGCTATGAGCATCAATTGACGCGATATCGACGACGGAACGTGACAACGCCGCATCCCGATTTAATCTTTCAAGCTAAAAAATTTTTACATTTTCATTAAACTCAAATTCTATTGACAATAAACAATACTTTAAAATATGATTTTATTAAAGGTAGGTAAGGAGAAACGGCCAATGCGAGTCCACAGCAGGTGTCCGTGCGAAATTGTCAATGTTTTTTTTAAAACAATTTAATAAATAATCCAAACGTTTCGACCCGTTTTTGGGTCATCCTCAGTGAAGCTGGGATAAAAGATATGATACATAGTGTTAAACAACTTTACAAAATATTAATATAAATTTACGAAAAAATACAATGAATTTTTACCTGATTGGATACATAACTTAACACCACTATTATCGAGAATTATCCTCTGACAGTTTCAACGAGATTTAATCTTTGAACTGGTGATAGCCAAGTAAAGAGTTAGATTTGTTAATTCGATAATTCTAAAAGTAGAGAATGTATTTCGTTAAACTATTCGTTATGAATTTAAATGTAATGACTCACCGAAGTTGAGAGAAGACAGTCACGACGAGTGGTAAATAATAAATGACAATGACAAGTGGTAGTGCGAAAATAAAAGTAAAACCGGTGTAGCAAATAAGGATTGCCAAAACAATAATTGAGTTGGTAATGTAACTATGTTAGTGTCAAGATTCTTCCCGGTACTGGTAAAATCATTAATGGAAAATACTGTTCTCAGATGGGAGAGGGAAAAGATGGCGGAGTGAGAAGTGGTGACAGTGAGAGGTCTGAGAGAAAAGACGAAGGAAAAGTGGAAGGAAGTGAGTGAAGAGGAAGAAAATATGAAGATGAATGGAGGACAAGGAGGAGCAACGCGGGAATTGGAGGAGACGAGAAGGAGAAAAGAAGAAGAAAGTTAGAAGGAGGTAAAGCGAAGAGGAGGACGATTCGGCAGATCGGAACGAAGAAGAAGGACAAGGAGTGGGGAGAAGATCGAGCGGAAGGAGCGAGAGATCGATAGGTGAGAGGAGAGAGGGTGAAGAAGAAGCGCGAGAGGTCGAAGAACACAGGTGGAGAGGGAGCAGACGGCAGGATCGATAGTGAAATAAAAGTCGACAGCGCAAGTGAAGGAGGAAAGAGTGGAGGATAGAAGAAGAACAGAAGGAAGGAGGTTGAGGCAGAAGGAAAGCGGAAGGAAAGAATTTGGAAGAAGCAGGAGCAGGAGTACGGAGCAGTGAGTGCAGGAAGGGAGAGGAGAGGAGAGAAAGGAGGAGAAAAGATGACGCGGAGGAGGGAGAAGACTAGCAGGAAGGATCGAGAGATTGAGGGAGAGAGAATCGAGAGGTCGAAGGACGGGAACGAAGGTGATTGGCCGAGGAGATCGAGAGATCGATTCGGCGGGAAAAGATCGAAAGGGAGGAGAGATCGATGGCGGCTAGGAAGGAGGGGGATAACACAGTGGAAAGCAACCGGCAGGCAGAGATAGAAGTTTGAAAGGCGTCAGAATAAGTGGAGGAGTAGAAGGAAAAGAAAGGCAAGAAGAGGAAAGCGGGAGAAGAGGAAGCGGAGGAGAGAGGAAGACGGAGGAAAGGAGGTAGGAGAGGAAAGAGAGAGAGAGAGAAGGAAGGGGGAAATAAGAAAGAGCGGAATGGTAGAGGTTAGGGTCACATGCGTGCAGCGAAAGCACGCAAGCAAGGGGAGAAGGAAAGGGAATGATAGAACAAAACTGTTATTCCATAGGAAGGAACGAGAGAGGACAAGGAGTGGAGAGAGAGGAGGAAGGGAGCTGAAGAGAGAAGAGAAGAGAGGGAAAGCGGAGGAAAATAAGTGACGGGGAGTAGCAGGAGAGACAAAGGGAGGAGGAAGGAGCTGGAGGTGAAGAAAAGAGGAAGCGAAAGAGAAAGGTGGAGCAAAAAGAAGGAAAGCAGGAGAGAATGGCGGGTGGAAACAGGAAGGAAAGGGAAAACAGGAAGGATGGAGAGAAGAAGGATGGCAGAGAGGAAGAAAGAAGGAGAAACGGAAGAGGGAGGAGTATGGTTAGGGGGTGGGACGAAGGGAGGGTGGGTTAAAAAATATGTAAAGGTCGCTAATGGCCAGGTCGCGGTAGGGGGAACGGAACGGATATGTAAGGAGGCGACAGAGAAGGAAGCAAAGAAAGAGGAGAGAGGAAAGCAGTAAAGGAAGCACAGAGGAGAGGAAAAAGTGGAGGAAAGAAGGTAGGAGAAGAATGGCAGAGGGAAGAACAAAGGGGGATAAACGTAGCGGGTGGTAGCAAGCGGGGTAGAGGGAGAGAGGTTAGGGATAAGTAAGCACGAGGAAAGCAACCGGTGCTGGCTACGCATGCACGCGCTAGGCAAGAACGACGGAGAAGGAAAGGAGTGAAAGGGAGTCAAGTGGGTAACAAGGATATAATATTATATATTTTTTATTGATTCGCGTCAAATATATTCTGATTGTAGGAACGAGAGGGGAGAAGAAGCAGAAAGAAAGAGGAGGAAAGAGAGAAAGGAGAGGGAAGCAAGAGGAAAGACGAGGAAGGAGGGATAGGAGTGGTGGAGTGGCGGAAGGAGAGAACGAAGGAGGAGAAGGAGAAGGAAGAACAGACAAGGAAGGAGAGAGACATCGGAGCGGGTGGGGCGGGAAGAGGGGTAGGGAGGGATGGTCGAAAGGGTGGGAGGGAAAGAGTGTGTACAGGTCGCCCATGGCCAGGTCATGGTAGCGGAGGAAAAGGGGAAAGCATGTAAAGGGTTCGGGAACGCTCCCTGGAAAAGCGCCAGTATATGTGAAAGGCGTCGGGCCGGGAATATGGCCTGACGATGTAAAGGTTCGGGTACGCTCCTGAAAAGCGCCAACATTGTTGAGAGAGTGTAATCCCCCTTGGGGGACACACTGTAAATAAAGCATACATACATACATACATACTGTTCTCAGATGGAGGAAATGTACCAGCAGTTACGCTTTAAGCAACCTGCAATATGCATATTGCTCTATGATAACGCTCGACCACATGTAAAGGACGAGGGGTGAGGAGCAAGGGGGCGAGAGCCGAGCGTCGAGCGGCGAACGACGCGTGGCGAGGGTGAGCGGTGAGGGGCGAGCGGGGAGTGGGGAGTGTTCACTGAAGCTCGCCGCTTGTAGTGTCCCTAAAATAGAGAGTCCGGCCAATACATCTAGGGATGTGGAAAAATGGCGGATATCTGTTCGTTTTTTGCTACACTTCTGAACTCGAACTGAAAGTGCAGTAAATGAATAGACACCGTACATGTGAACATAAGAAACGACAATTGGTTAGTCGTGACTAGGAAATTGTAATACGACAAAAGTATAAAAACTATAAATATCTACTTTACAAAACAATAAAATGTAAAATAAAACATTATAAAATAGAATGCATCGCCATCGTTTTACTGTCGTATGTTTTTCTCAATACTTTCCTTTTTGTACATGAAATGCACATTCTGTATAAAATGAAACGTTTCATTATTGTCGTTGGTAATTTATGACAACATTTTATCGTATTACAAACATCTTTCATTTTATACACTGGTCAAAAAAATTAACGCAACAAGAAACTTACATCAAAATTTGGCGAATTTCAAATAAGCGTAACTTCGCGAAAACTGGTCGAATTGAAAAGTTTTTTTTTTCATTTTATAGGGCAAAGCCTCTACTTTAAGAAGCTCTTATTGGAATTTGCATTCACTCTTCCCATTTCCCAGAACTTTCTCAAAATCATGATCATGTTTTTTCCCTAAAAAATTGCACACTTTGACGCACTGTGCGGAGTGTAGTAATTTTTCTTCGCCAGTTCTGCTTACGGTATCAAAAAGTCTATGCTTTTCTCTTCAATTTAAAAAAAAAGAAGTTCCTACGATTTTTTTCGCCAAATCACAGCTCATTGAAATAACCCTTGTGTTTTCGACATTACCAACGATATCTCCGTTAAAAATCATCGTAGCAAGATCGTTTTTTTTAAATTAAAGCTTGCACTTTCAGCTTCAAAAACTAGTCACCAGATTT